GACATACCGTAAAAAACAAACAGTGATCATATTAAGATTTTCTTTTTTAACTGTCAAGTTGCATAACTTGTCTATCAAAAGAACTCCTTACTTGTATACTATGTGCCACACTTTATTTAAATCTCTTACTCCACCTCTACCGAGAGTCCTCCTGTAAGGTTCAGTCTGTTTTAGAAAGTCTTTCTTTCTTTTGATTTCCTTTCTTATATACCCTCAAATCAGAGATCTCGCTAAGATTTCTTAGAACACTGTATTTGGGTGGTGATACCTATACATTTATTATCTTATTTCTTAGTATTTAGCTAGATATATTATTTTTCTTCACTTTATTACATTTTACTAAAGTATAATTTATAAAGAATAAAATGCACTGAGTCAATTTTTTTTCTAATTTTTTTTCTTCTATGTTTATTGCTTTTGTGTCTGTCTTAAGAAACCTCTGTTTGCCCCAAAATCATGGAGATTGCTTCTAGTTTTTCATCTAGGAACTATTGATTTATCTTTCACAGTTAGCTGTGTGGTCCAATATGACTTGATCCAATGTGGCTTGATTTTTTATAGTTTTGATATATGAAATAAGGGTCAAGGTACATCTCTAGCTTTATGAATATTTAATTGGCATTGCATTAAAGAGACTCTGAAAATTCTTCAAAAAAAAGGAAAATCGAAGCTCGTATGTTTCAGCATTTCCAAACTTGGAATCGACACTTTCATTTAGTTGAAATTACATTGTATGAGGGGTCTTAAATAGTTCTTAGGAAAATGTAATTAAAAGATAATGGAATTTGTCCATAGACTTTTTGAAGCCCCCTCATGTAATTAGTTAAATTTACCATCTGAAACTAAAATTATTGAAAAGTATCCATTTTGGGCTCTCAAGATCTTGTACAGCTGTAATTTTTTTATTACTAAAGGAAGATTTTTTTTTTTCAGAACTAGGGGGAAAAGAAGCAAATATAGTTACTATATTATTCCCATTAAAAATTACTTTTGGGGATTTGGAAATCATTGATAGGAAGTTACAGTGCATGTTTCAGGGTCTGCTTCAGAGCATAGTAGTAAAACCTTCGAGTTTTAAGAAAGTGAGTATATATTGGTCTCTGGGATCATTCTTGTATCTAAGCATTCTGAAACAAAGTAGTAGGTCTTACATCATTTCTAAATTTGTATAGGTAAATCTTTATTGGGTAAGCAAGGAAACTTACAGTACAAAAACCTCCTGAGACCATTGTCAGTTGTCTATGGCCCATTTGGCATAATAATGGACAAAGCAATTTGTATTCGTTGTTATGTAAGGTTTAATCAATAATTCCTTAAAATTCTCTCACCTTCTCAATAATCATTGCATACATGCTTATAACATATAAAATAGTGATTACTTTGAACCACCTTATTTTTCTTAAAAGTAAAGCCTATCAGTCCTTTGACACCCCCTTCCAGTTTATTTTGATTATTTAAGAGAAACAACATACAATACTTTGAACTTGTACTCTGGTCCCACCTGTATCACTCGCTAAGAGTGCAACTTGGGCTACAGTTTTCTCCTGTAAAATAAAGGTGGATTAGATTTTTAGAGTAACTCTAGGTAATAAGGAGGCACTATTAATACAAATAACTATAAGTAGGAAGAGAGTTATGAAAACAAAGTAATTATGAGTTTGTGATTAGTGGAAGCAGGTTGTATTCGGAATCCCCAGGACAGGACTATGAGAGGTATGAAACTTTAAAGGAAGGTAGAATTTGGAAAAGAAGAGTTGTACAAACTGGAAGGAACATGAAAAGCATGTTAAGAGCTAAGGAGGCATGTGACACGGACAATTTGTGGTTGCCTGGAGTGTGTGTGAGAAGTAAGGAAGAAGCTTTAAATACTAGAGTACATTCTTAACTCAGTGGGCCTTTCAAAAGTTTTCAGCAGTTGGGTGTCATAGTAAAAGTTATATTTAAGAAGTCTGATAGAGTGACACTGCTCTGGATGATATTTCAGTTAGGAATACTTTTGATGCAATTTTGTGATTGAACAAGCAGTAGCTGAAATAAATCACTTGATGTTGTTAGGTGCAGTCAAGGCAGTCCTGAGTCCTAACAGCCCTCTGCACAACTGCGTGAAGCGCTCCCCGGGATCTGACAGGGTTCTGCTGCCATCCATAGGTTTCATCAGTGGCCCCTCCTCCGAAATGGCCAGCCTGCTCCTTCTGCAGAGTCTGCTCTGAATCTGGAAGCTCTGCTGAAGCCTGTTCATTTTGGGTAAAACCCTGCTGATATTCGACATACCAGTGACATAGCATCACAGCAGCATATATGCTACCACACTACATACTGACAGATAAGTCATGGAAATAGGCTTATAAATTCTCAGAAAATCCAGATGTAGACTGTTGATGGCACATGTTTTAAGACTAACTTCATTATGATTCTTTTGGCTTTTCCTAATGTTTGTCACCTCATGACACGATGGGCTATTGCAGCTTCAGCAACTCATCCACATTTAAAGCAGGAAAAAGAGTAGATTACATCAGCTTCATCTTTCTTTTCTGTCAGATGTTTCCCAGAAATCCACAGCAGACTTGTGTCCAGAACTGTTCCTTGGTTACCCTCACCTATAAGATAAGAAAAACAAGTGTCTTTGCCCAGACTGGACATACTGCTCCTGGGGATAAAAACAGGGCTCTCTCAGCAGGGGGAAGGCAGGAATGAGTATTAGGGAGACAATTTATGTGTTTGCCATAGACAGATTGGACAGTGAAGGAATTAATTAGAGGGGAGAAACAGGAGGAGGAAAACCCAGAAAAGAACTTATTAAAATAGTCTAGCTGAGAAATTTGGTAATGAGGACTTGCCTTGCTTTGATGAAGCCGTGGGTGGTACCCAGAGAAGTTAGTTGGTTGCAGTATTGCAAAGGCAGAGTTATTTGCTGTGGATTGACTATTTCCAGCAAGCAATTAATCTAGGATTTGGAGACCCAAGTGAGAAATAAAGCTTGTGTTATGTTAATACTCTCAGAGCTTCTCTGCTCTGAGGACAGAGCTCCTGGGACTGGAATGGTTTATATTTCCCTCTGAGCCTTCCATCATGCTTCCATGTAGAAAAAGGGGCACGTTCCTGACGTATATGAGGGTTTGCTTGCAGAGATGTTGATTTGGAGGTTTATAGAAATGGTTAGCTACTAGGTAAGAATTTGAACTAGAGAAAAATTTGAACTGGAGAGAAAACTTCACTTCCTTATTTTCTTAACTATATGGTATGATCCTTGAAAGACTGCATATTATTTGCTTAATATTTTTAAATGAGTAAAATTTGTGTATGGTAGATGCTTTTAAGCATTAGACTGTTAACAGCAGTTCAAACCTACTAGCTATTTTTTGGGAGAAACATGAAGATTTTAGAGTTTCAGAAAGCCTGTATGGGGTCACCATGACTCAGAATTGGCTCGATGGCATGGCAGTGGGTCTGTTATTTTGGATTTGTTGAGCAAAAGAGATTTTGCCTGATAAGATTCTTGATTCTTTCTGGAGTGCAAAAAGGTAATGAGCTAGTGAAGATTAAATCATAAGATTTACCTTTTATATTTTTTATTCTACTTTTTAATTATTTAATCAATTTTGGGGGAGCTCTTAAAGATAGCATAACATTCCATTGTTGAATCACATCAAGCAGTGTTAAGAATTGATACCAGTTTCAAAACATTTCTTTCTCCTTGAGCTGCTTGATATCAGCTCCCCTTTATCCCCTACCCCCCCAACCCCAGGAAGCCTTATTTTCCTCCCCCCTATAGATTACCCCCCCATATCTTACACAATCCAGTAAATCCAAGACTTACATTTATTTATTTATTTTTCTTTAGTTTAAAAAAAAAAATCATTTTATTGGGGGCTAAGATTTGCATGTTATTTATTTATTTTCAGGATTTACATTTTAAATGCTACTTAAAAATAGGTACTGTAGAATGTTTAGACCTCTCTTGCTATTGTATTGCAGGCAATACAAGGACCTGTGGAATATGAGTGATGACAAACCCTTTCTATGCACTGCCCCTGGGTGTGGCCAGGTAATGTAGACATTCCTTTGTATATTTTCACAAACACACTGATGACAGAAAATGTTCTCATTTTAAAATTTTCTCTTGAGCTGTTTTGTAAAATTTTAGAGTTGAGATGAATATAACTCAGAAAAGTTTTGGAAAGAAATTCTCCTTTTTCCTCAATAATATATCTGAATTTAAGGAAATAGAATTTAATATTGGCCAAGGTGTGGTTGTGGATTATAATCTTACCATAGAAAGGTGGTAGAAAGCCCTAAATAGAAATCCAGGGTTTAAAAGGATGCTAATTTTACCATTGTTGGTTGAAAATCTTTGATGAACTTAATTGGAAATAAATTATACATTATCTTATAGGAAACTAATTTTACTTTGTGAATTAACTCATATTGACCTCTGGCAATATCACTAATGTATTCATGTTTTTAAGTCTAACCCCTTAACTTCAGAGCATGCCATTATTAATTGGTTGTAGATAGTTGTTATAATTAATTTACTCTTAAAATAATGGTAGACAGTAAAAACAAACCCCCTGTCATGAAGTGGATTCTCAATCATAGTAATCCTTTGGACAGAGTAGAACTGCTCCATAGAGTTTCTGAGACTGTAGATCTTGATGGGAGCTAGCAGCCCTGTTTTCTCCTATGGAGAAGCTGATGGGTTGAACTGTCAACCTGGAGGTTAGCTGCCCAACCCTTACCCATTTGCACCACCAGCACACCTTACTTACACTAGAAAAGAAGAAGAAAATGACAAAGTACTTAAATATATAGACTGTAAGTCATTAAGGTACTTAATTTCTTTTTTATTAATATTTTAAATTTAAGTGTAATTGATCAACAGTAAACTGGAGGTGTTAGTAGTGTACTTTTGGTAACTTTTGATAGGTGTATGTACCTATCACATAATCAAGATATTAGAACATAGCTAGAACCCCAAATGTCCTCCCTTCTGGCCTTTGTCAGGCAACCTGATTTGCCTACCATCACTATAGATTAGTTTATATCTCCTATAATTCTACATCAGTAGAATCATACAGTGTGTACTTTTCACAGGCTGCTTCACTGCACATAAAGATTCCTCCATGCTGTTGTATGATCAATAGTTAATTCCTTTTTATTGCTTATTTTTTGACATTTATTTCACAACTTGTTTGTTCATTTGTTTATGGACATCCCTCCCTTCGTTTAAGTTATTACAATTCAAGCTGCTATGAATATTTGTGTACACACTATTTATGGATGCAGGCTTTGTTTTCTCTTGGGTAGATAGCTTCAAGAGTCGTGGTTGGATAACATAAATTAATTTTTAGGGGATAGATGATCCTTTAGGGAATAGATGATACATTCCCACCCACAGTGTATGAGAGATCTTGTGCTATATCCTTGCCAACATTTGATCCATTTTTTGTTTTATTCTTAGCCATTCTCATGTACGCATACTAGGATCTCATTGTGCTTTTAACATATATTTCCTGATGACTAATGAAAGGATGAGCACTTTTTTGGCGGGGGTGGGGTGGTGGTGGTGGTGGCTATTGATACTTATTTATTTGTTTGTTTTTAAAATCATTTTATTGGGGCTCATACAATTCATCACAATACATACATCAGTTGTGTAAAGCACACATACATTTGTTGCCCTCATCATTCTCAAAATTCACTTTCCTCTTGGGTTCCTGGAATTAGCTCATTTTCCTTTTTCCCCTCCCCCTCCCGCCCGCTCCCCCCTGCCTCATGAACCCTTAATAATTTATAAATTATTATTATATCTTATCTTACACTGCCCGGCATCTCCCTTTACCTACCCTTCTGTTGCCCATCCCCCAGAGAGGAGGTTACATGTAGATCCTTGTGATCGATTTCCCCTTTCCACCCCCACTTCCCTCCCGGTATCGCCACTGTCACTGCTGGTCCTGAGGGTTCCATCTGTCGTAGATTCCCTGCGTTTCCAGTTCCCATCTGTACCGCTGTGCATCCTCTGTTCTAACCAGGTTTGCAAGGTAGAATTGGGATCATGATAGCTGGGGGGAGGAAGCGTTTAAGAACTAGAGGAAGGTTGTGAGTTTCATTATTGCTATACTGAACCTTGAGTGACAGGATGAGCACTTTGTAATGTGTTTATTGGACACTTGTGTACCTTTTTAAAAAATGTGTACATTCTTTTGTGTTTTTTATAAATCTTTTGTACTTTTTTCAAAATTGGGTTGCTTATATAATAATCATTGAATTGTAGAAGTTTTTTATGTATCCTGGATGCTAGTCCTTTGTTAGATAAGCTTCGCAAATATTTCCTCCCAGCTCACGACTTGCTTCTTAATTTTCAGTATGTACTTGGATGAGTAGATGTTTTTAATTTAAATAAAGTTTTACTTGTTTTCTTCTTTTTTATGTCTAAGAAACTTTTGCTTATCCTGTGTCACAAAGATAGCTTGCAATTTACTTTGCTTTCCTCTTAAAACTTAAATAATTTAGATCTCAGTTCCATCTTGAATTAACTTTTGTATGGAATGAGGTAGGGTGAAGTTTTGTTTTGTTTTTCAGATATTTTACCATCCCTAGTTGTTTTCCCCATTAAATTGCTTTGGCTTCTTTACTAAAAATCACATTATTTTATACATGTCTATCTCTGGGTTCTGTTCTGTTTCATTCATTGATCTTTCCATTTTTATTCAAGCACCACACTGATTTGATTACTATAATAAATGTTTAAGTCACATAGACTTAGTTCTCCATTTAGTAATCCGTTTTACAAGATTGCTTTGGATAACTAGATTATTTTCTGTTTCCATAGGATTTTAAAGAATAACCTTTTCTACCCCCGCCCCCCCCAAATGTACTTTGAGATTATGTTGAATCTGTACATTAATCTGGAGATAATTGACAGCTTAACAATGATTCCGTGTTAGAGTCTCTTCCTTCTTTATATCATTTGGTAATGGTTTGTCATCTGCAGTGTCGCGTTCACCGATGTCGTCTGTTAAGTTTATTCTTAAATATTTTATGACTTGATGTTATTGTTAAGTGCCGTTCTTTTTCTAATTTATTTATTTTCAGCAGTGTGCTGCTAGTATATAGACACATATATGTGTATAAACCTGGTATCCTGCAACCTTGCTGAATTATGCTTTTTTACTGACATATAATTCATGTATCATGCAACTCAGTGCTTCAAATATATTAAAAAGATCTGTGCAGTCATCACCACAATCAATTTTAGAACCTTTTTATTTTTTTAACCTATTATTATTAGCTTCCCATTACTCCCAACCTGCGCTGCCATTCCCCGACCACACTAACTAAAACCACACTCACTGTCCTGGGGTCAGTTCCAGCTCATAGTGACCCCGTAGAACTGCCCCTGAGGGTTTCCGAGACAGTAACTCTTTAGGAGAGTAGAAAGCCTTGTCTCCCCTCCCAAGGAGCAGCTGGTGGTTTCAAACTACAGACCTTGCAGTTAGCAGGCCAATTCGTAACCTAGTACTCTACCTGGGCTCCTAGGAACTATAGTTACTCTCTCTAGATTTTCCTCCGCTGGATTGCATATAAAGACAATCATACAAAAAACCTCAGCAATGACAGCAAAATAAAATAGAAAAACTTTAATCCAAAAGAAAGCACAAGATAATAGAAACTAAAACATTTAAAATGAAAGGAAAACAAATAATAACGTTAAATTTTAACGTAACTACAACTGCAGTTAATCTCCTTTCCAATGCACTCTTTCGGAGAGCAAGACATTTGCACCCTGGTCCGTGGTTGGAGGGAATTCAGTGGAGGCTCACTACAAGTGGGAGCTTGCAAATGGATTTGGGGCTTTCACTGTCATCTGTACCCTTCTACAGAATAAGTGTGCAGAACTTAAGCTCTACTATAATTCACAGGGGCTCTTTTTTTTTTTTTTTAATTCACAGGGGCTCTTACAACAATCCGTGCATCAGTTTTAAAGAGCACATTTGTACATATGCTGCCATCATCATTTTCAAAACATTTTCTTTCTACTTGAGCCCTTGTTACCTAGCTGAATGATTTTGAGGTGTTTTATACCTATGTTACCCTGGCTGGATGTTACTACTGTGAGATGTTTCTTCTTTCAATGAAATAAATAAGAATGTATTTGAATTTTTATCCATTAGTCAATGTTACAGAAATCTTGTAGATGCTTTTCAAATAGTAAGTCATACCATGACCATTAATAGATTGTGGATCAATTTAGTGGGTACCAGCTAGAATTTGTTAAAGTGAGATAGAGAATGAATATGAAGAGAATTGTACAAAGCAATTGTAAATACTGTTTTGTGAAACATTTGAAAATTATATTTGTGTGTTGGTGTGTGTGCGTGGGATAGTCATATCTTAGTTACCTAGTGCAGCTATAACAGAGATAGAACTAGTGAGTTGCTTTATTATTTTCCTTAATGTATGAAAAAGCTTTAATTTCCCCCCATCTTATTTAATCAAGTATATCATCATTAAGTAAAGATTAAGTGCCCTAGGTAGTTAAAAAATAATGTGAAAAGGAAATTTATTAATTTACATGGAAAAGATACTTGTTAAATTTTATTTAATACTATACCATGCTTACATATGACATTTATTTCAGAAAAGATATAAGCTTTTTGTCATCAGGGACTGGCTTTAGAGAGCAGAAATTTATCTTATGATTTAGGGGTAGAAGTTTAAATTCACTGCCATGCCTCTAGGAGAGCCTTTTTAAATTGATTGATTGACCTCTTTAGGTTTCTGTTCTTTGTTGGATACAGTCCAGTGGATTTATACTCAATAGCAACCCTATAGGACAAAGTAGAACTGATGCCAGAGATAAGATTACCCAAGCAGGGCTTCAAATCAGTTGAGTCATGGCCAAAGAACCAAAGCCAGAATGGACCAGAATTTTTAAATGTAGGTGATTCAGACGATAACAGTAACAGGAAAAGTTAAGGCTGGACTCAAGACTGGAAGCACAGGAGCAGCATAGTGAGCCCTGTCGGGAGACTGATGTATGAGATTGGATCATTGCACTAATTTTGAGTAGGGCACCATTGTTTCTGATTGTGCTCAAAATCTGATGGCAACAGATGTGTTTGCTATGTAAAAACTACACTGCCCTAATTTTCTAAGAGAGATACTAAGTTTCTAGCAGGGATTTGATTTGTCTTTTTTTTTTTTCTGGTCTGCTCACCATAATTTTAAAAGTTCAGATTTGTTCTGATTCTGATTCCTAAAACATGACTCTACTGGGAAGAATCAGTTCTAAGCCCTTTTTCCAAGACTGGGATCTTCATAGGAGTAGGTTACAGGAGCAATTGGTGGGTATGAACGGCTGACTTTTTCAATTTCTAAACAACTATCATCCTTAGTGTTTCTGGGCTGCTGGAGAGTCATCTGTTATGTGTGCCTCCCTTGTAGCGCATCTCTCTCCAGTGGCCCATCTGTTTCTCTGTCTCTATTAGGCTCTCTTGTTCTCTTTTTTTTTTAAAGCAGTTTTATTGTCATATAATTCACATACCATACAGTAAATGTTAAAATGTATTAAAAAGTTGTGCATTTATCACCACAATTTTAGACCATTCCTTCATTCTTTTATCCGTTATTATTAACTCCCCATTTCCCCCCAGCCTCCCCTGCCATAGCCTAAACACTGCTAATTTAGTTACTGTCTCTATAGATTTTCCTATCCTGGATTTCATTTAAAGAAATTCATACCCCTCCCCAAGAACAGCATAATGAGACACAGAAAATCTTCAAAAGGAAGTAGAAAATAATAACTAGAGCAAGTTAAAAATGGGTCAAAAGGGAAAACAAATGGCAATATATTACATTTTAACCTAACTATATTTGCAGTAATCCTCTTTCCATGAGGACAAGACTATTCCCATTCCTGGTCAATGGACCAGGAGAAATAAATGGAGTCTTAATCCAAGTGGGGACTCTGCAAAAGGATTTTGGGCCTTCACTGGCATCCATAAAAACAACAACAACACACGGCCAAGCAGTCATTTCTGACTCATAGCGACCCTATTGAACAGGGTAGACCTACCCCTGTGAATAGTAAAACCAAGGTGTTGTGTAGACTACTAGCTCCTAAATGAGTTTAATTTCTTTAAGTTAGAGGACTGGAGGGCTGGTCTAAGGATGCGTTTTTGTTTGTTTGTTTCAGTTGCATTCAAACGGATTCCTGCTCTTGGCAAACCCTATGTATGTGAGAGTAGATTTTTCATTGTTTTCTAATTATTCTAATCATTGTTTTTTGTAAATTATCAGGCATTTCTTTTATGGTCCCTCAAGGTTGGCCTCAAACCTCTCAGCTAGAAGCTGAGCCCTTAAACCACTCAGGGACAGTAAGGATGATAGAGGTATTCTCTCATTATTGGTCCTGAGGGGGTTATCTGTCCTGGATTCCCTGTTTCTAGCTCTTACCAGTACCAGTGTACATCTTCTGGTCTAGCTGGACTTTTTTTTTTTTAAAGGATGATACTGAATACTGAGAGGGAGTGCAGATTGGGGACCCAAAGCCCATCTGTAGGCAACTGGACATCCCCTTACAGAACGGTCACCGGGAGGAGACGAGCCAGTCAGGGTGCAGTGTAGCAACGATGAAACATGCAACTTTTCTCTAGTTTTTTTTTTTTTCTCTAGTTCTTTAATGCTTCCCCCTCACTCCTCCAATATCATGATCCCAATTCTTCCTGAAAAATCCAGCTAGACCAGAGGATGTACACTGGTACAGATAGGAACTGGAAATACAGGGAATCCAGGACAGAAGATCCCTTCAGGACCAGTGGTGTGAGTGGCAATACCAGGAGGATGGAGAGACAATGGAGTAGAAAGTGGGAACTGATTACAAGTATCTACATATAACCCCCTCCCTGGGGGATGGACAACAGCAAAGTGGGTGAAGGGAGACATCAGACAGTGTAAGACATAGAATAATAATATTTATAAATTATCAAAGGTGAGGGAGAGTGGGGGAGGGAGTGGAAAAAATAAGGAGCTGATACCAAGGGCTCAAGTACAAAGCAAATGTTTTGAAAATGATGATGGCAACAAATGTACAAATGTGCTTGACACAATAGATGTATGTATGGATTGTGATAAGAGTTGTATGAGCCCCCAATAAAGTAATTTAAAAACAAACAAAAATATAAAAAATAAAGCTCTTATACCAAAAAAAAGTCTAGATAAAAAGCATAATGAAAAATTCTTTTACACAATGATCGGCGTATAACAACCTTCTTCCCCCCCACCCCACCCACCGACATCCACCCAGGGTGAGGAACAGCATAAACTTGGGTGAAGGGAGCTAGTGGATAGTGGAAGCTATGAAAATAATAACAATTTATAAGTTATCAAGGGTTCATGAGAGTGGGAAGGTGGGGGAGGGAGGGGGGAAAGTGAGAAGCTGATACCAAGGGCTCGAGTAGAAAGAACATGTTTTGAAAAGGATCATGGTAACATGTACAAATGTGCTTAACACAATGGGTAAATGGATTGTTAAAAGAGCTGTTAGAGCCCCCGATAAAATGATTTTTTTAAAAAGAAAATAAACCTCTTACATTGTTCTAAGGATACCCTGTGGCTATCATTAGTCACATGATAGGGAGGGACCACAAAAGGAAGTAATTTTGATATTTAGGGTGAGCTACATCCAAATATATACAGTTCTAACATTCTTATTTATAAGGCTATAGACTATAGAGTATGTTTAGGGGTCTTAAGTTAGCACTTTACCATTATTGCTATACAATAACAAAAAGTTAATGCACCCTATTTTCTGTTATAATTGCTCCCTATTTTCTGTTGTAAAGTATTCCTTAACTAAAGTTGATATTCACACATAGGAGCTGTTTTAAAAAATACTTTTATTGTGCTACGGTCATACATGTTGCTTTTTGCATGCAGGGCCCACTAAGTTTAAGTAGGGGGGGGCGTGTGATGTATAACTTTAAAAATGAATATAATTTTGCTTCATATTTCATATATGAGTACCAGAATCAAAGTGATTTTTAAAAAACCACTGACTCTTTTAAGTTAAAAATGTAAGAGCTAATTTAGGTTTAATTTTAAAAGAACTGCGTTGTTGTAGTGGTTGCCGTTTCACTGTATTGGTCCCTTTTGTTCTTGATATGGCAGCATAGAGCATGGTTTCCTTCTTAAATTTGCCCAGGGCATTCTCTTAGAAGACAATTTTCATTTAGAAAATGGTAAGTAACTTTAAGTCTAGGTCAATACAGTGCTTCCTTCAAAAGTCATTGTGTTGTGAAGTATATATTTCTACTGTGTGGTGACAAAGAATTAATAGTGATCTATTTTTAGTGTAAATTGACAAAATTTATATGAAGTTTCTTTGTCTCAAGTTTTTTGTTCTTAATGCTCTTCAATGAGCTGTGTGAGCTATTATGTCAGTATTGCTTGTTCTTGGGTAATGGGCTTCTCTGGTTACTTAAAATCTAGCGTGTTTATACTAACAATGATAAATTCCTTTATTGTTAACAAGCTGCTATTTCACTGTTAATGGTGGTTTTACATGTTGTGGAAATGAATTTCCTTATCATTTTACTTAATTTGATCAAAATGAAAATCTTAACTATATTTTAAAACTTTTTGCCACAGCGCTTTACCAACGAGGATCATTTGGCTGTCCATAAACATAAACATGAGATGACACTGAAATTTGGTCCAGCACGTAATGACAGTGTCATTGTGGCTGGTTAGTATATGCTTTTATTATAGCTTATATACATATTTCACCTGGATTGTGCACAATTTTTGTGTATTCTCTATAAATAAGATAGTCTGGTGATATTCCAATGATTTCATTTGCAGTAAATGTTGGCAACATGTATTTTACCCATTACATTTCCATGTTTCGTTCTGGCCATTCATTTTACTTTTTGTATGGTTTTCAAATACAGATTTAAATGTTTGTCTTATAGAAGTTCATTAGAACGTTCATATCATTTCCAGAGTTTACTTTTTAACTGATAATTGAGCTAATGTAGTATTTAGTCCCATGTTTCTTTTAGCTCTCTTGAAACTTGTTTACAATGCTATATAAAGATAGGAAATGATCAAGGTCCATCTATTGGAGAAAGTGCAATTAGTAGGTATGTTTTCATTTTTCCCCCACAGTTTTTATTGGCCTACAGTTTGCATATCATACAATTGAATAGTTCAGTTGTTCAGTCATGTCAAGGGAATTATAGAATCAGAACCACGTCTGTCTTAGAGCATCCACCCCTCATGGTTAAATCACCTTTAAAATGAGTTGTGCAACCACAGTCAGTTCTAGTGCTACACACACACACACACACACACACACAGAGTAGATATATTCTTTAGGATTATGTTAATATTTCTTTTCAAATGAAGCATTTGTTACTAAAGTTAGCTCAGTAAAAGTCAAACATACTGACATCGAGTCAGTTTACTTCGTAGTGATCTTATGAAGGGTTTCCAGGGCTTTGAATCTTTACAAAAGTAGAAACCTTCATCTTTCTCCCTTGGATCTGCTGGTGGGTTTGAACCACTGATCTCCAGTTAGTAGTCCATTGCTTACTCAACAGTGCCACGAGAAGGTCTATATTTAGATTGCTCTTTTGTTTGTTGGCCCCTTGGACATAACACCATCACCTAAACATATATTCATTTTTCACAGTACTTGAAAATTCATGCATCAGTTTATTGCTTTTCCATGGTATTTAGATATATATATATACACACACATATCTATATATATGCATATACATATACGATGTTAATTTCACTGCATCTGTATATATATATTTTTTTTGCATCTGTATATTTTATAAATTAATATTATGATAAAACTAAACCATTTGGTGGCAAAAAACACATACTCTCCTTTTCTCTTTTAAGACTTAAGTTGTGCTATTTTAAGGCTGAAATTATACCTGTAGACCAAATATTAGTAATACATTTACATTATTATCCAAGGTAGAAATCAAATTGTCATATGTGATACTTTAGAGAGATGATGAGGCAAATATGAGATGGTTCTTCCAGTCCTTTCACTTATCAAAATCTTCAAATGGAAAAATTAGAGGGCATGGTAAAGTTAATAACTATCACAAACAATTTTATTTAGGAAAAATATGAGAGAACATTAAACATAACTTCAGCTCCATAAATAAAAGGACGCTAGAGGAGAGCAGAGCTAATCTATGTGCTTTTTGTCAGATTGCCAATCATCAGGTCTTTAGAGCTAGAATGGCTCCCTTTCCCAAAAAACTGAGCAGCAAAACAGCAGCCTGCAAAGTTCCCTCTCCTAAGCGTGAAGGGCTTTGCTTCTCTGAAACCTGCGGTCTTAGAGCCATTTCTCTGCTGTCTTTAACTCAGGAAGTGTTCTGAGAATGGTTTCTGAGAATTGCTCTCCTATCTTTTTACATTTAATACTATAAAACAGTGGAGACCAAGTGCAGCACTTTGACTATATGTTTACTAGTATGTGTTGAGATGCATAGTGTAGCATTACTTTATAAATATAATGCATGAGGTGTGTGTTATATAGTTTATGACTAAACCATTAATAAATTTGTATGTCAAACAATTGTGCCTGTGTTGACTCTTTTCTTCCCAATCCTAATGAGTGTAGCATAGTAATCATTTATTAAAATAATTACCCTGTTTTCCTGCTTTTGCCAATTGTGCCCTAGTATTTTCATTACATTATTTGTGTAGAAGTATGGTATATTTATTTTAATTTTAAAGACTTTCCTCCTTGATTTTGACAAGAGCCTTCTAATGACCTTTGATATACAAACACTATGGACGTAAACACACGTCTGAGCCATCGTGTCAGTTCTGACTCTTAGTGACCCCGTAGCACAGAGAAGCATTGCCCTATAGCGTTCCAGCGCTGTACAGCTTGATGGAGATCAGCTATCATGTCTTTCTCTCACCAAGCACCCGCAGACCTAGATTAGCAGCTGAGCACTTAGCCACTGCACTGCCAGGGCTGCTGGGTCTGAACAGAAGAGCCAAAGTATATTGGATCATGATGGACTGAAGCTGGTACATGTATGCTGGGGCCTTGCTGTTTAGTGACTTTGGAGAGTTTTGGTGGGTAGGGGATATATTATAGACTAATAAGTAAAATGATGACCTAGTAGTATTCCTTCAGTGATCCTGTTAATAATGTCTGAGTCAGACTGGTATTATAGCTAATGTGACATAATACAGTCACTGTAAACTCATTATAGCGTAGGGGGTCATTGTAGCATTAAATATATTTGTGTATAGTGAATATAGGTGGTGTAGTGGGTTATGTACTGGGCTGCTAACCACAGGGCCAGCACTTTGAACCCACTAGTTGCTCCATGGGAGAAAGATGAGGCTTTCTGCTCCTGTAAAGAGTTATAGTCTGAGAGACCCATTAGGGCAGTGCTACTCTGTTCATAGGGTCATTATGAGTTGAATTTGACTTGCTGGCAGTGAGTTTGATTTTTATTTGAAATAATGTCAGTATTCTAGGTGTGTATGGAAAGGGCAAAGAAAATAATAAGTAATGCTAATGTGTGGTTATAATAATTAATGAGGATATAAATTTTAATTTCATGAGACTGGGAGTATTTTACCTTAAACCAGGAGTCTCTGGATACTTCTGTTTAGTTTAGGTTAGACCCCTGATATAACCTATAAACATGATACCCTAAAATGTATTTTTTAAAGTGACTGATATTTGAATATGCTCCTTACTTTGATCAATATGAGTAAACAGCCTTAAGCCAATATGGTTTAAATTGGGGGTGGGGGAGTAAATTTACTATTTTTTATTAATCAACACGGGCATAATTGGCATTTGGCCTAGAGCCAGTGCATGTGCACATTTACACACACAGTGGATGTATTGTTGTGCCTAGCATGATTGGGCATTCAGTCGGCCTTAAGACCCTTACATCTCTGTAAAAGAACAGTTAATTACCCTGCTGTGCAAAAGTTAAGCCAGACCATTCCGTGGGTATGTAACTCTTTAACAACGCCCCTTGTACTAATGTAATACAATGCATTAAAATTAAGAACTTGCTTCAAAGATAGTAGTAAAGAACAGTTTGGTTGTTTTTGTTTCTGTTCTGGTGTGTATGTATGTTTCTTAAAGATTCTTTTTTAAACTATTCTTCCTTGAAGTATTTTGGTCTACCTACTAAAGACCCTAAGCGTGTTCTTACAATAGCTGATGACCAACTACTGAAGGGCTACATTACCGGGAGCATACCTGCTCTGGTCCTAGTGTTCTCAGATGGCATATATTTCAAGCAATCAGGATTTTTAAAGTGTCAATTCACAGAGATTCTTACCACTATGATAATGATAATAGTCCACGTCTAGTAAAGGATGCTCATCACCTCTTCTCAGAAGGAGTGCACTAAGGAGCCAGGAGAACTTCTTTCCTGCTTTTATAGGTCATAAAATTGGAGAGAATACCTTGAGAAATGCAATAAAAACTTAACCAAATTTTGTTTGCTTTAAAGGAAGAGGTCTTACCAAAGAGAAAATTAACAGCTGACTGAGCCAGTCCTACTAATTTGTTAACTTTACTAGGTACATTTTAAACCCCTATACGATAATCTAAGCCTGAGTGATTATTTCTTGATATTTATTTCAGATCAAACCCCAACACCAACACGATTCCTGAAAAACTGTGAAGAAGTGGGTTTGTTTAATGAGTTGGCAAGTCCATTTGAGAATGAATTCAAGAAAGCCTCAGAAGATGACATTAAGAAAGTATGTTGCTCGTGATAAAAAAAATTTATTATAATACTTCTGCCAGAACAGAAATGATTATTTAACATTTCTGTCTTTTTGTTACATACTGCTCAGTTATTTTTAAACTCCTAACACTTTCTTTATGTTTGCATTTTAGATGCCTCTAGATTTATCCCCTCTTGCAACACCTATCATAAGAAGCAAAATCGAGGAGCCCGCTGTGGTGGAAACAACTCCCCAGGATAGTCCTTTACCTCACCCAGAGTCCACTACCAGTGATGAAAAGGTTATAACTCTACAGTTCTGGTGATGCAAACTGAGGGGGGGAAATTAGTATAACAAGTAACGTTTAATATTTAAACTTATAAATTCTATATAATTCAGTGTCATCTTGTAATGATTTTATTAAAAATAATATTAAATAATAATATGCAAAAGTTAGACTGAATATTTATAGAAAGTTCAGGGAAAGAAGACATAGTTTTATAATTAGCTTTTTGTTACACAGAAAAATTATAGGGGAAAACAGTGTTGTGTTAGATAAAATTAAAAGGGATCTCCCTGTGAAGCAGTTCTGCTCTCTCCTACAGGGTGGCGCTCCAGGCTAAGCAGTAGACTGCTAACCAGTGGGTCAGTGGCTAGAATCCATCGCCTGCTTATGGGAGAACGACAAGATGTCCAGTCTTAGAAATCCGAAGGAGTATTTCCATATTGTCTTCTAGGGATGTTCTGAATCGGAATTAACTATATGGCAGTGGGTTTGGTGTGCTTTTTGTGGTGGTGGTGGTGGTGGTGGTTGTAGTGGCTTAGTTAAGGAGCAGTAGATAATGCCCTTAATCTCTTTGTTTCCCAAGATAAAACTTTTGGGGAAAGACCACCTCTAAAAGTCCTGACCTACCAATTCTGTTTTCTTTAATTTGTAAAGAGCTCACTTTTAAACAATTTTAAAAATTTACATTCAGAAACCCATTTTACATGGTCTTTGATAGTGAGACATTCTTATTATAAGAAATAGGTATAGCTACTTGAGATTAACAAACCTTTGTGTTACTTTAAGAGATGTCTAGGCATTTCTCACTAAGGTTAATTGGTGTAACATAGTTAACAAAGACGACATCCTGTTTTCCTTAGTAACAACTCAGGTGTTGAAAGCTCATGGTCAGCCGTCTTTGGTGCAAATGCTCGTCTCTCCCTGTCTGGAGGATAGAAGAATGATGAAAATAGAAAAACAGAATGGACAATCATAGTGGGCTAATGGGCCATGTAAACATTAGTCTTCACAACCCCAAGATCTGAAAAACTAGTATTGGTGGTTGGTATCCAGCTACCAATACCATCTGCTCTAGAAGGATCACATTAGAAGGTCCTGGGTAGAGTTGGGAAGATGTGCAACAGGCTCAAAATAATAAAAAAGAGACCAGGCATATTAGTTGGAACCACCAAGACTGTGGCCCTCAGCCACCCTTCATGTCTGGAATGGAACTAACCCCCTGTTAGAATAATCAACCATTTAAGATCAAACGGGCAACTGTGACACCAGAAACTGGGTTAAGAAAGGAAGCGGAAAGAAAACGGGAAACGTTTGGAGAAAGAAAGGAGGGAGAAGCAGTGTTATGTTGAGGGTCGTGGAAGCAAAATGTGTATAAATGATTGAATGCAAAACTCATGATGAGCATGGTGAACCTTTCCCACCTAAATCATAATTTGATAGTTAAAACAAATTCTTGGCCTTGCTATGAATTGAATTTCTGTCAGTCTCATCAGGCTCCCTGGACCTGCTTACTCTTCTCTGCAGTCCCTTAGGTTCCTTTGGGTTCTCTGCCCTGTAACTCCATGAGAATAGACTATTTTTAATTTTATTACAATTCTCACGGAACATTGCAAAATTGCTCCCTCTGACTTACTTCTGGATTAGTAGGGAAACAAGATCTACTGAAAAACCATTCCGTTTTTCAAACATTAAAATATGAATTAAGCATTGAATATGAGCTTTGACAGCTGCTTTTAAGTTCTTTCAATTAATTTTAGACATTAATTTACTTTGGGGTAATATTAAGTATTATCTTGTGGTTGCTTTTAGAAGCATGTTACTTTTTGTTCACTCAAGTACATGAATTAATTTGCGTCTCTAAATCCCACTCTTTCTCTCTCCTGTTATTCAATAGGAAGCACCATTGGCACAGACTGCACAGACCACATCAGCTATGGTTCGTCCAGCATCCTTACAGGTCCCCAGCGTGCTGCTCACAAGTTCTGACTCAAGTGTAATTATTCAGCAGGCAGTACCCTCACCAACCTCAAGTACTGTCATCACCCAGGCACCGTCCTCCAATAGGCCAATTGTGTAAGTGATGTGGGCCAATCAATTCAGTGATTTAAATGATCACCTCAGGGCTTTCTGTGTGTGTGTTGTGTTTGGGTTAGATCTTTTATGCTGTGACTCTTGGAAAAAGTGCTTACGTAGTTTTCTTTATGTAAAATATATATATATATATGTATGTTTAAGTAGATTGACATATAAACATCTAAAACTGTTTATAATATAGATCATGATAGAATGTAAGTTTACATGATCTCTTATTTTCATGTTTCATGTGAACTATGTAAACTTCATCACCAGAAAGCATTTCTTTCAATTCTCATAGGTATCTCTCAAGATCTTGATGGCGAGAATTTTTTTTTTCGTTTTACAGATTGCAGATTTGTAACGTAACTAGTTCTAGTTCTAGTTCCCCCTATTTTTACCCTGCCATGTGTGTGGATGCATTTAAAAGGCAATTGGAAGTTAAATTTGCAGTTTCGGTGCAGTTAGAAAATTTCCTGTTGAATGCTGTGGCAGTAAAAGTACTGTTGTGTCTGAGGAGGCGTTTTGATGTGGGTTTCCTTTCTTTGTTTCTCCTAGCCCCGTACCAGGCCCATTTCCTCTTCTGTTACATCTTCCTAATGGGCAAACTATGCCTGTCGCTATTCCTGCATCAATCACAAGTTCCAATGTGCACGTTCCTGCTGCAGTTCCAGTACGTTTGACATTTAAGCTTTTTATTTTTAGGAAAACTTAAAGTATGATCAGAGAATATATCTGGGGTTGCTTGGTTTTCTTATGAAATTAAATCCAGCAAAATAGTACTGAAGAGTACTTACTGACTGATATTTGGGGGAATAGCAGATATCATTTCTGACAAATATAATTGGATAGAAAACAATTTTCCAGCCCCTAAGAATCTTAAATTTAAAAAAATTATTTGTAATATGGACAACTTTATTGCTAGTGAACCCACTTTAATTTGAATAGATTGTAGCATTTCAAATGTTAATGTAGATAATAATTTAAAAAATTTAAGAAAACCAGATACTGCACTTAATCTTAGCCAAAAGTCCGTGCAAACCTCTCTCCCGTTAAACCCATTGTCTTACATGGTCTGTGTGTCCACACTTAATGTTCACATGTAATTTTAACCATTTCACCAAGGTTTGACATGTGGAATTATTTAATAATGTTTATAAAATTGACTTTCCCTACATTCTATATCGTGTTAGTTCATGAAACAGAAGAGACAGGAATATTTTAGATAAACTTGACAGATTGAAAGGGCAAGTAGTGGCATTGTGTCTTCAGTAAAATACAACATTTACCATTTAAATAAAGGCATTTTAAATGTAAAAAGTAAAGAACACCTGTCGGTTAACTCTGTGTTATTTCAGTGATTGTATAGATTGTGTTTTAAAACACACTGTGGGAACTTTTATGGTCAAACCAGGGTTACAAAATTCCTGTGATAGCCAAGCATGTTAAAATCGAAACCATCCGAAATGTTTGACAAAACCGTTCCCTATGGGAAGACCCAGATGCTAAGTGTTTTGACATGTTTGTGACCGCAATGAAAATTTGAAAGACGGACAAAATTATAAGTTAAAGATCTACTTAATAATAATCATTCTGTGAGCCTTTAAAAGCATATTCTTTAGAATTATAATTCAGAAACTTTTCTTACTCATTTTATAGAACAGTTTTATTCAAACTCTTCCCATATGTCTTCACCATCCCAGGTTTTCATCATTATAGCCACTTGGGGATCCAGCACAGCTGTGTAGGGTTTATTTCCCTTTCCATCTGAAATTATTTAAGATGTACTACTTTGCGGTTTTCAAGATAGAATACTCTTTGAATCTGTTATCCACCTCTTGAATATCTTCTTAATAGAAGCCCAAGTCATTCATCTAATAATGCAGTACATGTTACCTCTACTTTATAGATAAATATTGGTGAGCAGTACAATATAACCATTTAGTATAAGGTGACCAGATTTTAACATTGGTAAGGCGGGACACCATTGATAAAGCTCAGATCCTGGCGAAGTAGCCACACGGCAGCCAAAAACCATATAACCTAGCTTGTCGTGCATTCTTTCCAAAAATCGGGACGTCTGGTCTCCTTAATTTAGTATATACCAAAGAAACCCAAACTAACTGGCATTGAATTAATTCTAACTCATAATGGCCTTATGTAGAGTTTTCAAGAGTGTACATCTTTATAAGCGCAGACAACGTGATCCTTTCTCCTGGAGCAGCTGCTGACCTTTGGTTATCAGTCCAACACCCAACCCAGAGTGCTTCAGAGGTTCCTTATTTACTTAAAAAGTATTGTTAAAAGCTTTGTTTATAAAACCAACACTTTGGGCTTAGAGTATGCTCTCAAGAATATTAATATTAATGTTAACTTTGGCCTTTATTAACTAATTCTCCCAAATGATCTACGTAAAGTCAATTTTAGAATTGACATTGAGGTTAATTTAGATAGTTAATTTAGATAAACAAGTTCTTCTGGAAGAAGAACTTCATTGTTTAAAATGCATTGTTTGAGAGACTCAAATATCAGACTACTGCCTCTTACAGTATATATTTTTTAATAATTTTATTAGGGGCTCATACGACTCCTATCACAATTCATACATACATCAATTGTGTAAAGCACATTTATACAATCATTGCTCTCGTCGTTCTCAACATTTGCTCTCCACTTAAGCCCCTGGCATCAGGTCCTCATTGTCCCACCTCCCTCCCCGGTCCCACCTCCCTCATGAGCCCTTGATAATTTACAAATTGTTTATTTTTTTAAGGGAGAAAATAGTCTTACTCTGGACTTGAGGTTTTATGGGTGTGTTATTGAATGTAACTGTGGTTTCAACTTGATATGAAAAAATAAATACACTTTCGTTATAATAATCAATTGCTCAGCAGTGTTAGTTTCTTCTTTTCTTTTTAATAGGCTAAAACCAAAATGGAAACAGCTGTTTCAGATTATTATTAAAGTAAATCATTAGAGGTTACCAGCTTCTTTCGTTGTCATTATGAGGTACATTAACTTACCAAAGAACTTCTACTCACATGCTTCAGGAATTCGGAGTTGATTGAGATTACTTTTGATGCCTGCTTGTTACAAGCTCTGACAATCCTCCCAAATTCAAAATGTGTGGCATATTTGAGAAATTCTGCATCAATCACTTTGAATATTATGAGCTTTTATAAGAAGGACTCATTAAGAAAAAAACCTAAGAGTTAAAGATAGGGAAAATAAGCAACTTTTGCAGAAATCGTCTGACACAAGATTATCACAGTTTGTGGGTGGAGATGTAATCAACTGAAAACAAATTTACAGTTTTCTTGTCCTGAAATCACACGTAGATTATCCCAGTAGGCGATGCACAGATCAAACAGCGTTTTCATTGTGCGTAGATGCTCTAGCAGTTCTTTTCCACTGTCTCTTCTACAGCTTGTTCGGCCAGTCACCATGGTGCCTAGTGTTCCAGGGATCCCGGGTCCTTCTTCCCCGCAACCTGTACAGTCAGAAGCAAAAATGGTAAACACCATTTTGTTGGTTTTTAACTCGCTTGAGCCTCGTTTCAATTAGTGTTTTCCATTAATTAACGTCTGTGTGGAGTACAATATGGGTCGCCTTTTAGAAAAGTATACTTTTTAAAAGTAGCACACCCATGTAAACAATGCATTTACATATATGCAGAAATGACCAAATTACATTTTTAAAAAATCTGGAATAGCCCTCCCATACATACATGCCATGTGACATTTCTAGAAGTGAATTTCAACTTCATTTTAATTCAGTAGTCAAAAGAAGGTTATTATTTTGAACATAATTATTTAATGAAAGAATTTGCCACAGTCAAGAAGTCAGAGACAGAGTTTGGAAGTACCTGCGTAATTGGGAAATAAACAATCGAAACTACTTTACTCTGCGGCAGTTCCTGGCCAAGCTTGAAAACGGTGGTATTTCTTATAGCTGATCTGAGCCTCAGATACGTTGCACCAGAGGTTGGTAGAGGGTCAGGCCGAGGGCCCCCACTGCTCAGCTGCAGTGTGCTGGTGCAGGTGTGTATGACCCTGACCCCATGGGACCTCCAGGAGTCCAGTCATAGACTTCTACTCCAAGCAAGGGACAAAGGGCCCCTCTCCCCTTGGAGCTCTGCCCCTGCCCGACCGCACTGTGATGGGCAGGAGATTTAGATGGTCTGAGCATGGCATCTGGACACTGGGGCACAGGCATCAGTAGTGTGCCAGACCAGGCCACCTAAGTGGCATCTCCAACTCAGGGTACACAGAACGTGCACCTCCTGGGCAGCGACTGGCTGCCCTGATAAGAGTTGTTTGCAGGACAGAAAAGGTAATCTCTTCTTGGTTTGGGGAAAGCAGCTTGTAGAGTAGAGAGAATCCTGCCAGGAGAGGGGCTGCTGAGAGCTAAACCTCCAATTCAGCAGGCACCAGGATGAAGACTTAATACATTAAATGGTTTGTTAGGATTTTGAATTCTGTTCCTCATTTTACTTCCTCTCAGAGCAGGTGGTTGTGGTAGCCAGGTACCATCTAGGTGTTCTAGTATCTGGGTCATGGATACTCATGTAGTCCTGTGATGTTCAGGTGGTCCGTTAGTCCATTGGACTAATTATTTCCACGTATCTTCAATTTTCTTCATTTCTCTTTCCTCCAGACAGAGTCCAATAGTTACACCTTAGAGGACTGCTCGTGAGCTTTTAAGACCCCAGTCACTACTCACCAAAAGTCCTGAAATCGCAAGTAGATTACTACAGTAGCCAATGTATAAATAAAATAGTTTTCTTCTGACTATATTCTTAAGCAGTTATTTTTCAATATATCTCCCATAGTTTGTTAGGTCAATCACACTGGTAGAACAAAATCTTTGTGGAGTATGTTACACTAATTTACCATAGTGTTCCCGCCTAGTGACCCATTGTCTCACAAGTGTTTGCTTATGCCTAAGGCATTATCCTAACTTTGCCCCATATGCCCCACCGTACTCAATGGATATATTTGTAGCAAAGGTACATATCATGCACAAATACCCTCATCTATTTGTGAGTATACTCCTACTCCCACACCTGCATGTCTATCCTTGAATCTCCTTATAGATCACTGTTAACTACAGGATTGACAGAATTTTCTTCTGCTCCCTCGTGCTCTTGAACCCCTCCCACTGCCTTCAGCTGCCTCCCTCACTTATTGCCAGTCTCCCTCTTCCTGCTTATTGCTTTCGGCTTCACTCAAGCTAACCCAGTCCTTTACCATCTCTCTCCTGAATCCCAGGAGAACCCCGGGACCAGCAAAGAATGTTCTTTGACGCTTTACAATTGTGATTTCATACCATATTTGATGTTTTTCACTCAGCATAATTTTCTCCAGCTTCACCCATGTATCAGCAATACAAATGTTTTGCTGATACATTGATATTCTTTAAGATTCTGTAGTATTCCCTTGTGTTTGTGTACCATAATTTCTCCAGTCCATCGATGGGCATTTAAGTTCTTACTATCTTTTTTACTAGTGCTATGATGAACATGGGTATGTGTATATCTGTTTGTGTTGCAACTGTTATTTTTCTAGGATATATACCAAGTATTGGGATTGCTGGGTCATATGGCTTTTCAAATTCCATATTTTTAAGGAAGTGCCATGCTATTTTTCTCGGTTGTTGCAGCATTTTACACTCCCACCAGAATTGTATGAGTGTTTCAGTGTGTACACACACACCAGCATTTGTTGTTTTCTGTTTTTATTTTTAACCTTGCAATTAATGGCATGAGAAATGAAATAAGATGATAGCACATTGGGTTTTTTTGTTTTGTTTTTTGCTTTGTTTTGTATCGTTAATGGCTAATGATCACGAGCATTTCTTCATATAGTTTTGGCCACTTGCTTATCTTCTTTGTTGAAGTAGTCATTCATATCTTCTGCCTATTTTTTAATTTGTTTCTTATTGAAGTGTTACAATTTTCTTTAACGTTTAGAGTCCCTTGTCTGAAATGTAATTGGAAAACGTTTTTGCCCAGTCTGTGGGTTCTCTTTTTATTCTTTTGGTGAAATCTTTTGCTGTATGGAAGTGTCTAATCATTAGGAGGTCTCAGTAATCTAGTTTGTCTTCCGTGTTTGTACAAGGGGGTACCCCACAAAAACCAGAAATTTTTTCAAAGCTGTGTTTAATTTTTTTGCCCCAAAATAACTGTATCACCTTCAAAGTACTCTTCATTACGCTTAATACATTTGTCAAGTCTTCAGTTCCATTCTTGGAAATATGTGTCAAACTCATCTGTTTGGATGGCTGACAGCACCTCCTTCATTTTTTTCTTCACCTCTTCTACATCATCGAAGCACTGTCCTTTCATGTCCTTCTTCATTCATGGAAACAAAAAGAAGTCTCGTGGAGCAAGGTCAGGTGCATGGGGCAAAAGAGGCATGCTGTTTTTTGCCAAAAAACTGGCATACTGAGATGGCTGTATGAGTGGGTGCATTGTTGTAGTGGCAAAATCATTGACCCATCTGCCACAAATCAGGCCTTTTTTGTCACACACTGTTACAGAATCTTTTTAGAATCTCTAAATAGAAAGCTTGATTAGCAGTCTGACCTGGTGGAACAAACTCCACATCAAAACAAATGAGCATTGTCTTGATCTTGGATTTCACTTGACGAGCATTTTTGAGGCGAGGTGATGATGGTGCCTTCCACTGGCTTGATTGATGCTTGCTTTTGGGGTCGTAAGAATAGCACCATGTCTCTCACCAGTAAAGACCCTGGGGAAAACGTCTGGGTTGCTTTGGAGCTGTTCTTTGAAAGCCCAGCATGTTTCCAGTCAAAGCTCTTTTTGCTGGTCCGTCAGAACCCGAGGCACACGTTTCTCATCAACCCTTCTCATTCCCAAACCTTCCCTTAAAATTCGCTGAACTGAGACCCAAGAGAGTCCAGAGAACTTCCTCATCACTTCAGTGATCGTCGTTGGTCTTTGAGCACAAGTGCACGAATTTTGTCAACATTTTCATCCATTCGGGAACTTGACGGACATCCAGAACAAGGTTTGTTATCAATTGACATTTCACCTTTTTTGGAAACCATTCATACATGTGAGTTTTAATCATAGCATTGTCCTTGTAAGCTGTATTCAACATCACAATGGTGTCTGTGGCATTTTTCACGAGCAGGAAACAAAATTTCCAGCACCATGTGTTAAAGAGACTATCTCTTCTCCATTGAAAGTATCTCGACCCTTTGTCAACAAACAGCTCTCCAAGGATAGATGGATGTACTTTTGGGTTCCTAACTCTGGTCCACTGGTGTCTGTGTCTGTCATCAGTCCAGTAGTAGCCTGTTTTGGTTACGATGATCGTGTATTAAGTTTTGAGATAGGTGAGTATGAGTTATTAGTATGGTGACTTTGGTTACTGGTACTTTATTTAGGTGAATGAGTGGTTTGGGAGTAAAATCCTACTTGTCATTAGTTCTGTTTTGGCAATGACATTTTAACAAACTCTTTCTCCTCCTGGTGGTGGCTAGGAGTATTACAACTGAAACCAGCCAGTTCTGTAATATACAAGTTAGTAAATGTTACATAAGATAAAATATGGGAAAATCCATCTTCTTGTGTTTCGAACTCTTGAGAAATTAGTGTTATTTAAAGGGAGGGTCTAGAGTTAAGGTCAGTCAGGAGGTAGGTATTTTAATTTTCATCTGGGCTGTGTCATCCATTACTCTTAAGCCACTTTAAAGTTTTAGAAATTCGAATTCTTCATATTTAAAATAAAATAGCTATTAAATTTAAATTTCTGAGTTTTCTCTTATGCCCAAATCCTTTAAAAAGTTCCTAATTTCCTAAGAAGAGAGCTGAATTTTTTTCTTTTTAAAAATATCATTATAATTATCACTTAGACTTTTTACACCAGTTTGAGGATAGTTCTTTTAAATACTGATGATATCCATAGGAAATCAGCAGGTAATTAGTATTAAGCAAAGAACAAAGGAGAGTTGTTGTCCAGTTGCTTTGGACTCGTGGTGACGGCGGTCGAGGGTCAGCGTAGACGTGTGCTCGGGCTGTCAGTAGCCATGGTCTTCCAGAAGCAGTCGCCCGTCGGTCATCTTTTCACTGGCAGCCAAGCACTTCATCACTTTCACCACCCAGGAGCTCCACATAGTTACTTGGTACCTAGTATTAGCTTCAGTCCTCTGTTAGGCATTATATTAACAATATAAATGGTAGACATAAGAAAGCATATTACAAAGCTTTGCTCTTTGCCAACAGTGTAAATAATCAATAGGAAATGTATATACGATATCTCTGCTCGATACTCACCTTCAGAAATGATCACTGAAGACAAGGGTGCTACAGTAGCAAAGTGTGGTGAAGAAAGATGGTGCCCAGATGTCGAATGGAAGAGTGTCTGGGGTCTTACAGGCTTGTATTCAGACAAGCAGCCATCTAAGTGAGGAGTCAGCTAAGTCCACATGGCAGAAGCACACCAACTTGTGTGATCCAAAGATGACAATCACAAAACCCAGATGTG